ACTTTCAAACCAAACAACAAACAGTAGTCTGAAATCTACTTTCAAACCAAACAACAAACAGTAGTCTGAAATCTACTTTCAAACCAAACAACAAACAGTAGTCTGAAATCTACTTTCAAACCAAGCAACAAACAGTAGTCTGAAATCTACTTTCAAACCAAGCAACAAACAGTAGTCTGAAATCTACTTTCAAACCAAACAAACAGTACAAACAATTTCTTTAAAAGCTGTAAAAACGTCATCTAAGTAATAAATCCAGAAAATTGGAAAATTGAGTGAAGTGAAAATTTTTCCAGGTTCAGAATTGAAGAAACTGTATCACACAAGACAATAGCACTTCAGGAACCTTGCACGAAATTACAGGTAAAGGCCATGGTAATTCTAACACTGGAGAAACCTCCCAACAAAATTAAAATAACATTTAGAAAACCCTTCCTTGTGATAAATCACTCTTTTGTTTATACTTCAAAAGTTAAAATCATTGCCAGAGAAAATAACAAAAAATCAAAAAAGCTCTCATAATTAAGAAACAAAAACCTACCATTAACCAGTATTCAGGTGTAATATTATATTTATTTTAATTTTTTGTATTTTATTTTATTGCTTAGCAACATTATATCACCATTTATACCACAATATGTAATGGTTCTGTTACATTATTCAAATGTAACCACCTGACGACACTAGTTAAACCTAACGAAAGATATTTGTTTACCTGTAAATAAAAGTTAACAACTAATCTGGTTTTAACAAACCTCTGTCAGTTTACAAAACAAATGGAACAAATATAAAGTTTCTTTTAACTATATATATATATAATACCAGCTTAAACTACGAGTACTCAGTACAACTTAAACAACATCCAAGTAATTAAGCTATATATGTGAAAGACTGTAACACTCATAATAGGAACCAAATTATTTGTTGAATTTCACACAAAACTGAATGAATTTGGTGTTCAAAGTGAAATGTTTCATGTGACTTGATAAATGTTCAGGCAGCCCACTGATTGTTGTAATTTAGTGGTCTAAAAATTTCAAACAGAACCAAATCTTGTTGTTTGAACTTCAAGAATGTATGTTTAATGATGACATTTCACACAAAGACAAAATTCAGACTCTGATTTTACAAACCTAATAAATAAATTTCTCAATACAGAAGGATTTAAGTTCTAATTTTATAAATCTAATCATGGTATTTCTCAATGAGGCAAAATTCTGGTTCTTATTTTCAAACCTATTCATAACATCATCTCTCTTTCAGGCTCTGATTTTACAAACCTATTCATGACACAATTTCTCAACAAAGCAAGACTCAGCCTCTTATTTTATAAACGAAATATTAGCAAGCCATTACTAAATCTCTATCAAATCTCAACTTCATTTGTAAGTATTCACAAAAGGAGAATGCTACAAAACAACAACAATGTATAAATATTGTTGGTCAAGTATGTGTGTTTTAAAAACAAAATAAATCTAAATATGAAACACAAATGTAATAACATCCGAAGCTATAACAGTTTATTATCAAACAAACACATATATATATATACGAGTAGAGACAGTAAGTTATTACAATTCACAAACTGAATCCTTCGTTACTATAACACAAGTAAAATTACTTTTCTGTAAATTTTTGTGAAAAATCTGTTACAGTGGTGTCTGAAAAAAAATTATTGTCATATTAATCAGCATCAAGCGTGGAATAATCTAACTGAAAATGAAGAAGGATACTGATTCTCCATCCTTGCATGCAGGAGGCACCCACTTTCACGTACTCGTTCGTACAACTAGAAGTTTCCTTTGCAGTTACCGGTTCAGAAAGTGTTTGACCCATTCTTACTATTGAAATAAAAATATACAAAGGTTTTAACACACAGGAAAAGTTGAATAAGAATAAGCTTGAATAAGTTGAAAAGCATTCTTTTAAATAATTAACTTTTTATTCAATAAAACATGAGAAAGTCTATAAATTAAAGAATAATACTTAAAACAGTAAAGCCATTTATTTTTACAACTAAAAGTTATTGCAACAATAACTTCTATAAAAATATTCACGAAAGAAAACCCAAAACATTCAGGAAACAACAAACATACTAACTGTACTTCTGTTAGTTCAGAAAATTTGAAGAAATTTATATTTGTATTTATGGCGAAACCACTAAGGTTGTTTACTACCTTACTTAACTTGTAACTACCGATCACAGGTAAAGCAGCCAGTGAGCACTAATGAATGACTATTACACTTATGACACACACACAAAATTTAATATATTGATTCCCAGATCATCACCAGTGATACATTCATATTATAAATTTTAGCCTTGTATAGAACTGATATGGCGTACAGGGAATACCTCTTTATCTAACCTATTGGCATCTCGTTGAACATAAAAACAAAGCATTACATTACACATTTTACATGTGACACATTTGGCACGATTGTCAACTTGCAATTACTTTCCTAAAAATAATTTTATAATAATGCGAGATGTATAATGATTAAACAAAACATTTTATTGCATAGAAACTTAATACAAAATAAGCATAAAAAGTGAAAGTAAAACGTATAATACAAGAAAGTGAAAACAATGAAGCATTTAGCATAAAAAAAATATGATAAAATTAATATAATTGAAAAAATTTAATTATTTTATGTTAATGACACTCCAAGAAGTGTTCTAAGAAAACAGATTGCTTGTTTGGGCAAAAAGTGAATTGGGTAGAAACTAATTTTTCCAGCAACTTCTGCTTCCGATATCTTTGAATAGTAACATCACTATTCCTAATAGGAGCAGCAATCAACTGTAAAAAGTAATGTGGCTTCTGGAAACTGCATATGGAAAGTTAAAACCTTGTCAGTCAATGTGCAGGAAATATTGGAGAATGTTTTGTGGAATGGTACGGATTTTAAAATAGTTCAATAGAACTATCTTCAAAAGGTGTGGGTTGGCTTTGTCATAGAACTATCTTCAAAAGGTGTGGGTTGGCTTTGTCATAGAACTATCTTCATAGGGTGTCAGTTGGCTTTGTCATAGAACTACCTTCAAAGGGTGTCGGTTGGCTTTGTGATAGAACTATCTTCAAAGGGTGTCGGTTGGCTTTGTCATAGAACTATCTTCAAAGGGTGTCGGTTGGCTTTGTGATAGAACTATCTTCAAAGGGTGTCGGTTGGCTTTGTGATAGAACTATCTTCAAAGGGTGTCGGTTGGCTTTGTGATGACAAAGCCAACCGACACCCTTTGAAGATAGTTCTATCACAAAGCCAACCCACACCCTTTGAAGATAGTTCTATCACAAAGCCAACCGACACCCTTTGAAGATAGTTCTATGACAAAGCCAACCGACACCCTTTGAAGATAGTTCTATGACAAAGCCAACTGACACCCTATGAAGATAGTTCTATGACAAAGCCAACTGACACCCTATGAAGATAGTTCTATGACAAAGCCAACCCACACCTTTTGAAGATAGTTCTATGACAAAGCCAACCGACACCCTTTGAAGATAGTTCTATGACAAAGCCAACCCACACCCTTTGAAGATAGTTATATGACAAAGCCAGCCGACACCCTTTGAAGATAGTTATATGACAAAGCCAACCCACACCCTTTATCACAGCTAATGTTACAAAAAGAATAGTTTTTTTTATAGTTCCAACATAAGATATTTCATTAAGAAGTAGGAAAGATGGAACAATAACAAGTGGTTTTTTAAACAAGATTTTGTACAGATATTTCTACATATTAAAAAACAAAACAGTTCTATGTTACATGGAAATCAGTTTCTAAAGATGTATCTGAGCTCACATTGATTACAAGGCTAAAGATACAATCACCTCTCAATATAAAAATACTTGTTACGCTTCAAATGCTGTTAGTGCCCACTTCTGGTCCCTTATCGAATAACAAATAATGATACATTGGAAAAGGTTCAAAAGGAAGCCGGCAGGATGACTCCAGGGACAAGTTAAGATCTCTTAAATCTTATGTACATGGGTGGGGTTCAAAGTGTGCATGGTGAGTAATATTTAGTGTAGGTAAGTTAGATGCAACATGGCTTTGAATTTTGTGATTTTTTTTATAAATCCTATACACACTTTAATGTTAACGTTTGGAACATGCATTATTTGATTTGGAAAGTTTCGTTTAACGGTGGTACCAAATGTGACATACCGTAGGACAACGAGAAACCTTACATGCCCATCCTTGAGAAAAGTGACTGTTTACTATTATTCCAAGTTTACTAGTTGTACCTAGTAGGAATGTGGGAAGCTTTGGGTAAAACTTACAACTCTGTTGTGTGCTGTAGAAATCATTATACTCAGATGTGTCTGTGAATTGACGTTAGTCTGCTCCAAAATGCATATCGTTTCTGATATTTACCACGAACTGTCGGGTAAAATTAATAGTTTTATAACGTTACATACATAATACCACGTTGAATAGAACACTCTGTTAAAGGCCTTGACTTTTGTGAGTAATATTTAGTGTAGGTAAGTTAGATGCAACATGGCTTTGAATTTTGAGTAATATTTAGTGTAGGTAAGTTAGATGCAACATGGCCTTGACTTTTGTGAGTAATATTTAGTGTAGGTAAGTTAGATGCAACATGGCCTTGACTTTTGTGAGTAATATTTAGTGTAGGTAAGTTAGATGCAACATGGAAAAGTCAAGGCCTTGTTGCATCTAACTTACACTAAATATTACTCACAAAAGTCAAGGCCATGTTGCATCTAACTTACCTACACTAAATATTACTCACAAAATTTAAAGCCATGTTGCATCTAATTTACCTACACTAAATATTACTCACAAAAGTCAAGGCTTGCATCTAACTTACACTAAATATTACTCACAAAATTCAAAGCCATGTTGCATCTAACTTACCTACACTAAATATTACTCACAAAATTCAAGGCTATGTTGCATCTAACTTACTTATACTAAATATTACTCACAAAATTCAAGGCCATGTTGCATCTAACTTACTTATACTAAATATTACTCAAAAAATTCAAGGCCATGTTGCATCTAACTTATTTATACTAAATATTACTCACAAAGACTCAAAATTGGAGACTAAATTACTCGCAGGCCCCAAACCCTATCTGTAGCTCTATTTTACACACATTCTGTCAGTGACAAAGTTGAACTATAATCAGAAAGTAAATATCAATTTCATTGATGCTACCTTCGAAAGGAATACAGGTACTCGTGGTAGCTTATCTGAGAAGAATTACAAGATTACTGTAAGTATGACCAGAGTACTGATTCACATCAGATGAAGTGGTTAGTACCTGTTGAACAAACTATAAGCCGCGAGAAGAACAAAAGACTTTACTTTTTAATCACAAGTGCAAGTAACATTTTCTTGTTTATGATTTTTAAATTGCCGTTTGAAAGAGTGCAGGACAACACTCATAGTCACCACACTCCTCATAAATATTAACTTACTGTGCAAAACATTTTAACATAATGAAATCCCAGACTGTATATTTATTTACATACAAACAAGAAATTTTATTATTTTAAAAATTGTTCACAAAATGCATACTTTAACTCTCTATTGACATTGTAACAAGTCATTATTACTTACTTATTAATACACATACTTCAAATCAAGTTGAATCTTCTTACTTCTAGGTAACAGTTTAAATAAACCAACCACGGAATTATTTCTGTTCAGTTTTCAACTCGACAATGTTACTTCTAGGTCAGGTACTCATTTACAACTTATCAAAATATGTTTCACAAACACATTTTTTTTGTGTGTGTAATATAAACTTTTTTTAAGTAAGAACATTTTTTTATCATGTTTGCATAATACAATTATCCACTTGGCATGGATCTCATGCGTGTTATTAAAGACAAAAGTATGCTGACAATTTTCACTTTAAAATGTCGAGTTTGAAACCACAGAATGTATGAAAACTTATACAATTTATAGCCACAAGAATAACACAGAAAACGAGCACTTGGAAAAAAAAAAAGATACAGGAAATCCCATTTCCTGTTGTTTTCTCTTTAGACTTTCCTGTACTGTTCTTCTGGAAAAGTTCTTACACTTTCATTAACCTGTCTATAATATATTTTATATATAAGGTGTGATGCTCAATCAGTTCTCTATTTAAAAAAAAAATGATTCATTACATAATGTACACAAACACACACACATGGGCATGCATCCTTAGAAGTTACCCAAAATTCTATAAAATACAAAACATTACCTGTAACTTTTTTGTTTTCAAAAGTGATCTCTTGTTACAGACTTCTGACAGTTTACTTACAATACAGCAAGGTGTGGCACGTCCACTTAGTCCTATCAAAAAATTGAATACTAGTGACAACAGTAGTCAGGATTCTTGATAAACTTTATTTATTTATGGAACTATTACCACAATTTCTTATAAGTAAGCAGTCATCCTAAAAATCCAGCTAACAGTACATGTCATGTCACTGCTTACAAGGTTAAAAAAAACAGTGTACTGATACTGTCACAAGATCTAATTTACAAACATTATCAAACTGTTACCTATATCTCTTAAGTTTCTAGATTAAGTGATTTTGCTTTTTAACTGCAGATCAAAGCTGCAGTAACAGTTACTCCTAAAAAAAAAAAAAATTTACCAGAAAGTGCAGAAACGTAAATAAAGATAAAATATAACAATCCTTAATCTTGTTACAAATTAACGTTACTAATATTCTGCTAGATTTAAAACGTATCTTTAGCAGACTAAAATACTGTTTCACTCATTTTTACTACTGAAAAATTGCATTTCTTAAGCAGAACAAAATAAATCAGTCTTCAGCTCTACCCATGGCAAATGAATGAAAACTTTCAAATAAGAAATCTCAGAAACATTAATTTAGGGAGTTAAAAGTAATAGACACAGTGTTTTAGTTTAATATCAGAAAATTACTGTGTTAAGTTGGATGTTTTAGTATACTCTTTTCTCATATACAATGTCTGCTTTACCAGTTCTCTCTCATATTTTACATAAATTATAAGATGCTGGATGTAAGTTTTTCACTAGTTACCTCTTCTATTTTATGTTCACAACTAAATAACAGACTTGGTCCCCTTTCTTGTTCATTTACTGTAACATTACTACAGCAATACACTATACCAGAGGTTCCCAAACTGTGCTCCCTGGCCCTCTGGGGTCTGCAATTGTACTTAAGGGGGTCCACAATAATACATCGAATTAACGAAATTACCATTTACTGAAAGAATAACAAATAAAATAAAATGTGAGGTTTCTCTCAACTTGCTTATATAAAATTGAAGTATAGAAATACGATAAATGTGGAGCCAGATCTTCCTTTGAAACTGTCAGACAATGACCCAGAAATTCACAAGATTGTTTCAGCAAAGCAGTATTATTCTTCACATTAAATTAAGTTGTAATATTTTTTTTATTTTCCATATTTAAATCTCTTGTCATTGTTCTTTTCTTAAAACTATTATCAAGCTGTAGAGGTAGTAAAATACGTATATGATACACCAGTTACACATGATACAAACTAATTTTAACAGGAAGTGGTCTGCAAATACAGTAAAGAAGTTGAAGGGGGTCCACCAGTTGGCAAAGTTTGGGAACCCCTGCACTATACCATTATCAGTAGTTCTTATCCCTTGGGTTGCAACCCAAAACTGGGTTACTAAGCCATTTTGAGTGGATCACCAAGGGTCTCCAATGAATGTCCGAACTTTATTTTGTAGTCCAACAGTGGCTACACCAAGGGGTTTATTTGAAGGCATGGATCGCCGAGCTAGCCCCACAACCAAAATTTGGGTCACAGCCAAAGAAAAGTTAAGAACCACTGCACTATACAATTTACAGGAAGTGGTAGCAAGTAAACTCTAAGTTTCAAGTTTTGATGAAGTGTCACAAGAAACAAAATATTTGTGAAAAACCTTAAATGAATCAATAAATTTCAATACGACTGAAAACAATTAAGTTAATAAAGTCATAAATAATATACTAACTTGCCTGTTCTATGTAATTTATAGATAACATTAGGTTTTCCTTTCTTTTTCTAGCCTTAAATTCAACAATAAATCTTATTACACAATTTACTCAGCAGTCCAGCCTATCTTTTCGCTTGTTTTATCTCATTCTCAGGGCTCAGTCACATTAATCCAACAAAAACGAGGCCATACGCAAGAGAACTTCAACTGAGAAGGTTTCACGCAGTAAACAAATTGCTGAATGTAAAAACAACGAAGTAAGTATATTTTTTGTCATTCTTACCTCTAAAAAGTAAAATTCTTGCATACATACGCTGGAAAATGTACTCAGCTTCGTTAACATTATTCATTAAGTTTCATTAAAGTACAATTCACAAAAAGTACGTTAACATAGCTCTCATACATGGTGGCATCATGAATCTTGAATAAGATTTTCCGCTTACGTCATACATATTCGGTAATTTAACTAGTTACAGTAATGAGTACCAAAAAACGTATTAATATTGGTAATATTTTAAATATATTTTTTCTTATTTTTTTTTAATTTTTAAAAGATGTTAAATCAAAATTTATTTATTTATTTAACTTATTGCTTTCCAAGAGCGAACCTATAACTATGCATGTTAATATTCACGTTTCTTCTGCTAACCTTGGTCTTAACTCGTGATGTAGATTAATTCAAAATTCTGACACTAGATTTTCTTTTTTCTTTTTTCTAATATATATCAATAAAAAAACTATAAGAATACTGCTGACGTATCTAAGGAGCAGACCTAAGTGTTATAACTTTCGCATGCTTCACATTTCTAAAAAAAATAATATTTACTGCAATAGCAAACTTTAACTACATACTTTCTTTAATGATGAACAACAAAACGACGGCATCAACAACGAACATTAAATTCTTGAACGTTTCGGAATATACATATTCCATCTTCAGCAAGCTATATTGCTATATTCTGAATCCATAGCTTTACCACAGAGCCAACCCGCATCCTACTAAATGAAAATAACAAAAAAGTTTTTCAGTGCAAAAATACACAATGTGCGGGGAATTGAGACCCAGATTTTAGCGCTGTATATTCAGTTTGCCATTAGACTGAAAGTTAAATTATTTCCAATAAGTTATTTACCAACGAGAGAACTATGCTACGACAATATTTATAAGAAACACAGAACGAATAACATCCAAAAGTAGATATCTTATGTTGATTGCTTGAAGCTGATTTCAGATTTGAATATTCATAATTTCGTTATTTTTTACATGTATATATATATACGAATAAATTGTGCAATTTTTCTGTGGAATATTTTAAAATTTAGTTCAGACCTTATATTTAACTCTATATGCTCATTAATATTGTTACGACAGCGGAATTCACGTGACGCTAATAACACGTAATGAGTATCTAGAAGGTTCGGGGAACATCACGAATAATCCAGTATTTGCTAGACGCCCTCTATTCCTGTATATAAGCGCGCTAGATAAAGAGTGACTGTGGAAATTCTGTGTATTGAAAAGTTGTATTGAGAAAGAATAAACTAGTTTTATTTAAAAAGGACTTTTATCGCTGAAGTTCCTCGGGAAGAATTTTTACGGGAAATTAACAAACGACCAGAGACGTAACAATATTAAACTAAATTTAACTCCATTTATTTTCTTAATTCTGAAGTTGATTCTAAATATGTTTGAATATTTCTTTCTGAGATAGATAAAAGGTCTGTTAAAGGAAAATGAGGTATAATATTTGAACATCAGCAGACACTTTTCTCATGATATATTTTTATTACAATCAAATGGTGGAACAGGGGTAAGTCTACGGAACTACATTGCTTTAATCAGTGGTTCGATTCTCCTCGGTGGACACAGCAGATAGCCCAATGTGGCTTTGCTATAAACACACACACACCCATACATGATTTAATAATGACATCTCGTTAGGAAAATGCTAACATGACTTCGTTCTTGTGTGTGTGTGTGTGTAATTTTATACCTTATTAATTTTGCGAACCCGTTTATTGACAACTTAAGTTTAAACTTAATTAAACCTGAATAACTGTAATTTCTAAAGCTAATATGCTATCCAACTAAACCACGTTTCTCTGATTATCCTAACAAAAAAAAATCAACTTCTGGATAAAATAAAATTCTAGGAAATATGCATGAAAATCCACATATCAACCATGGCAAGTACTCTAGGCCTATATTGATGAATATTTTTAATAGTAGAGAATCAAACCTTATAGAGGATGATAATGGCTGGAGACGGCTTGAATGGGTAATGAAGAAAAACTTTAATATAAGTTTAACATAACAGCAAATGTACAACGTTTCTGCAAGGTTTTGTAATCTTCAGGATCTTGTCGATACGTTGTACATTTGCTGTTA